GATGGTACGTGCGGAAATGTGTAGGAGGAAATGCGATGCTACCAAGCCGACCAATCAACGATCTTGCGGTCCGCGCCGCTGCGATGTGTAGTTACATTTTTGAGGAGGTGCGCGTCAGGCTACGGCGAAGGGTACGCAGTATGGGTCTGTGCGTATGCTATGCCGTACCAACTGCGCGGACCCGACGCAGAAGTATAAATTGGCCTTAAAGATGAAGTGACTGTTGTCACCTGGTGTCTTATTTTGGCTTATTTTAGAATGCTCTAAATTACAGTTTGTCCCATTCATTTCTATGGGTGCCCATTTTTGACCCAAATACAAGATTTTTTTTTTTTCCACCCACTTAACATTGTAAAATTGAGTCAAAAAAATTGTGTGTTCAGGAGGCAAACTTAGGAAAAGTAGCCAAGTCTTGTACCGCTCAGGGGTGCGTTTTCCGAAAGCATCGTTAGCCAACTATGGTCGCAAGTTCCGTCGTTATCAGCATAGTTCAACGATTCGGTGTTCGTTCCAACGAACATTCGCAAACAGCATCGCAAAGTTGTGTGGTTTGAACGACAGCTCTCGACCTGTGGTTAGAGGCATCGTTTCTATATTGCATGACATTTGGAGGTAAAAATCCTTATCTTGAGCATAATGAGCAAGTTGACATTCAGTACAACCGGTGTCTTTTATTTAGAATACTTACAAATAGAATTTACGTCTTTTAGTTTGTCAAAATATTCGAAGTAACGTGTTTGAAAAGTGCGCATGTGCGAACGCGCTCCATATATAAGAACGAGCCACATATTGAGTCTGGTAATAAAGCAGAACAACTGAGAACAATTAGAAATAGTCCTCAGATGACATGTCTGTAATTTATATAAAACAAATCTAGCGTTAATTGGATCTCAAACAGTTTCATTAGAAGTAGTTGTTACTCCACCACGTGCGAAACCAACGTAGTTGAACGATACTTTGCGACAGTGGGTTTCGGGAAACAGTCATGACTAGCTAGTTGATTTTTCCAACGATGCATCGTACTATGGTAGTGAAACGTACTCGTTGTACGGGAAACGCACCCCAGATCGAGCGAAGTATTTTTTAAAAATAAATCAAAACTTTTTGCCCACATTTGTGCTTAATTTATGTAAGTGTAGACAGCTCTCATGCAGGATCTGGGTGCTTGCTGTGTAAAAAAATCAATCGATAAACACATATGGCAAATTAAGTGCATTCAAACTCGCTTCAGAGCGTATTTATGTGAGAGGCGCGTGCACGCGAAGGGGCGTGAGATTTGTCCGCGAGTCGGAATTCGGTACAACACCTGTTTTAATACCAAAAAGACTCATGTTTTTATTTTATTTTTTTTTACACTACACTGAGCGGTCGGTTAAGGTAGCGAGTGCCACTGACGGAAGCAGTGACCGGAAGTGTTCCAGCCCACCGCAGACAAACCGGAAATACTTTTTCCGTTGTTATGCAACAACCCTATTGTTTTCACAGTGAACAGATTCACGGTATGCTGATTCTACGGAATTCGAATAAATGCATTTTGAAAAATCAAATAGATGCAAATAGCTAATTAAGGGTTCGTTTACACGACAACGATATGCTCAAAACTGATTTCCAGTACATGTCGACAATATAGACAGTAATACGCATGTGAATGATTTTTCAGAGATTCGCATTTTTATTTTTTACACGGAGACTGTTTTCAAAAGTTTGCATTTTCGCCATGATAACGCCATTGTCATGTAAATGAACGGCAGAGCGCTGTTAGTTGAAAAAGTCGTCATATTTCCAGCTAACAATTGCCTAATTTGTTGACAATGGGAAAGGAAAATAAGATAAAGATTTGCTTGTTCGTCTTTTTCATCAACTTGATTCAAATTCCCACAAAGCCAAAACTCCCGCCTGGTTGGCTAAACACACTGGAACACAGCTGAATTACAATGAGATCAAATCTGAAGTTCATGGCTATTCCTGAATGGTTAATTAGTGAGTGTATCTAGTTAAAATGTCACTCAAAACTCACCCAGGCTGTCATCTCTCTTGAGCACTGACAGTTTCTAATAAGGTCGTCAAAAAAGGCCTTGTTTTTTTTTCCTATGCAAATATGAAAATGCTGTAGAACAGTATGTGCTGACGATGATTTGTACAAAGTAGTCCACAGCTCCTCAGTACAAGGAGTCTACTGGTACTTATGCCATAATTAAGCTTCAAGGAGGAAGGTGTCATTTAGATGTCAGGAACTGATTAGCTGAATAACAACATGTAGCAGTCAGCATGACCTACGTTTGCCCCATGCCATAATTCAGAATGAGAATCAGAAGCACTATGCAACACAAATGTGTGAAATTATATCCCACCATGCAATGTGTTTGAATTGATCTTACATTCCAGTGTGAAAGTTGATTTCATGAAGATCTGTTAAAATCATCAGAATGAAATTAGTGATGGACTGACATGGATTTTTAATGGCCGATGTCAATATCTTAGAGAGCAAGGGTGGATGATTTAAAGCTGATGCATGTAATAGCACACTATTTGACTTATTTAACTTGATGAGAAAACAATCTGTCAAATAAAAAGAATGATACTTTGGATAGCATCTTTGTGTATCCTTGTAGTGTTTTTTCCCAAATTATTAAAAACATGCTGATTGTTTTCTCCACCGTCAAAATAAAAGTGCTGCTTCCAGAACTTATCAAAACTTATCATTAAAAAATGACACATATCTGCAGACACATCAGCCTTGCCAGTATATTGGTTGACTATTAAAGGTGCAGTAAGCAATTTCTGAGAAACACAGTTTAAAATTGAGATCAACACCCTAACATACAATTTTGTGAATATTTGCAATATGTCTGTTGTGTGTGTGTTTGCTGACGAAAAAAAAATATGTTACGATCAGACAAGTTGAGTTTTTTTTTTCTTCAGTAGTGGTTGAATTCCCGCGTTTACGTCATAATTCAACAGGAAGTTCACGCTCCAGACTGCCATGAATACGTTCAGGACCGTTAGCCAAGGCTGTGGATGACAGGTAAAAATGTTGTCAATTATGCTCAGTTTCTTGCACAGAACGATCGTTTTTACTTCATAAGACCTCAATGTATCGTCAGGAGCCACGGGTATTAATTTTGTTTTGCCATTGACTTGCATTATATGAATCATCAAGGACCACGGTTTCAGCTCAAAATATTCTGTACTGTTCTGCTGAATAATAAAAGCCACTACATCTTAACCTGAGTATATTAACAGCAAATTTTATTTTCTGCGTGAACAATCCCTGTAATACATACTGTACACTTACTATTTTTAAATAACAGTAACCACATACTGCACATTATTAAGTCGTTTTTTTGATGAATTTGTCTTGCTAGTTAACAAACATTAGTCCTACAGTGAATAAGTAAATACATCGATTTTCTGTCATTATAAACAAAATAAAACCGTTTCACATCATGGCTTTCATTTGATCAAACAATTTCTCACTATCACATGATTTTGAACTGCAGTCTTTCACTACATCACGGATCATGTTTGTATTGATCCCCTATTCTTAGGCATCAATGGTTCCCACAGGCCTTAAAAAATAACACCAGACAACACCTGATAATCAATTACTAGATTAAATTGCATCTTGGCCCACACAAATCAGTTTGGATAAAAGAAAGTGGACTAAACAGACAGTTTTTCCATACAGTTGTGAAAAATGCACAAAAATACAATTAAATTTTTTATATGAAATGTATATTTTCAAAATGTCTGTAATTCTCAATGAATCACCCCTTCTTGGGTTTTGCAAATAGAGTTACTTTCAAATGCATGTGCCATTAATCAAACTAATTTGCATGACAAGATCATCATCAGACTGTTTCTTCGCCATAACAGTGATTCCCCTAATAGAGAAAAGTGACTGTAAAATAAGTAATTTACGCTAATAACCACTTACACTGTAGCACCAATTGTATCAATTCAAAAGTGCAGCGAAACTGGATGAAATCATGGGATCTCAACTCTGGACCTTGAGGTCTACTTTCCTGCAGAGTCCATTTTTAAACATACCTGAATAAGTTTTCAAGGTCTTCGGGATTTGCTGAATGCTATACTAGGCCGGTGAGTTTGATCAAAGTTCAAGGATCAAGGCAAGAAAGTGGACCTCAAGGGCCAGAGTTGAGACCCACTGTACTAAATGGTGTTTGAGTAGTGATAAGTCCCTGCATTGAAATATTTGCATAGCGTATGTTTTGGGCTTGTGGATCGCCAGCCCAGAGTGAAATCTCATTGGTCCAAAATCCTGTTCCACATAACAGTAATTTAAACATCAGATACATTTTGAGTGGCTTTGTGTTGTGTAGTGTTTGCAACGCATTTCCGTTTCAGTGTAGACATCCAAATTACCTATCCCTGGTAATATGTCCCATTACACCATTGAACATTGAACCGATTGCAGTTGGTTCAAAATGCTGCTGCTAGACTTTTGACCAGCTCGAGAAAGAGTGATAGCATCACCCCAATTCTAAAATCCCTTCAATGGCTACCAATCAGATTTCAGATCGATTTTAAGATCTTAATATTCATTTTGAAAATTTTAAACGATCTGGCACCATCTTACCTATCTGATCTTATTATTCTGCACCAGCCAGCAAAGAATCTGAGATCGGCAGATAAATTATTGCTCCAGGTGCCGCGGTCCAGACTCAAGCGGAAAGGTGACCGAGCGTTTTCGATAGCTGGGCCTAGGCTATGGAATACAAGAGAGACCTTAATGTTTAAATTTTATGTTGTTGTGTTCTGTATATTTTCTGTTTGGTTTTATTGGTGGAATTGTACAGCACTTTGGGCTGCTCTTGAGGCAGTAGAAATGTGCAATATAAGAAAATAACTAAACTAAACTAAACCATGTTACACTAATTATAAATGTGATTATATCACAAAATCATGATTGGTTAATATCTGAACAACAGTTGTGGCACCATCATGAAATCTTGTAAAGGAAGAAATCCATGACTCACCTGTAGGTAGTGTGAAGACCGGAATGATGGTTTAAAGTCCTGATGCATCATGGGCTTCTCCAGGTTAAGGGAGGACTTTCGATAGGCCTCTTTGGCCTGACTGACGGTAAGTGTTGACCAGGAACTCCTCTTCATGAACTTTCCCTCGGGCGCCATGGATTCGCAGGCCGAACACTTGACGTCGTTGTTGCTTTTGGAGGTTTTGAGCGAGTGGTCTCCAAAGTGACTGTGCATGGATTCTGGGAAACTGTGACCGGCGTGTTCGTGATGGTGGCGGCTCAAAGCGCTGGCTGTGCGGTAGGTGCTGTCACTGTCTAGGTTGTCATCCGAGCTCCACCAGCCCCCCGTCCCCGACCGTTGCCTGCGCTCCTTGCTTTTACTGCGCTTGCTGCCGTGCTTGGATGAGTGATGATTGCCGTGGTGATGGTGATGGCTTCCCCCACCTCCACTGTCACCTTTAGTGCCATTCATCTTGGACGATCCCTCGAGTGAGTGGGACTTGGTGAAGAGCTTCTGGACGGAGTGCACCAGGTGTCGTATACGCCCGGGGCTCTCGCTGCGCTGTTCCCCTCCAGTTCCGGCGGATGTGCGTTGGTACTGCAGCGTATGGAAGCCGTCGCGATGAAGCGGAATCTGCTTTTCGAACTGGTCCAGCAGGTTTGCGGGGATGCGGTTGCTCTTGCTGCTGCCGTGGTAAGAGGCAGATGTTGCGGCAGCGGTGGCGGCAGATGTGGCTGAGGTGGTGATGGCTGCACAGTCTTCCCGGGCAGCTGGGTCGTAGTACTGTGAACTGTAGTGCATTCTGGGAAAGGTGCTGCTGGAAAGGTGGTCGGCGGGGGCAGTGGAAGGTAGCACCATGGGGGACATGATCATGCAATCGGAGTGAATGGAGCTGCGCGGGGAAAGACGGTGATGGAAGTCCATGGCGCAGGTCTCCGTGGGGCTGAGCAGGTAGTGGTGGCGCAGATCGGACACATGCATGCCGTGCAGGTCATGGAGATGCTCGCACTCCGCCAGTCCACACGGGGGCAGTGTGGGAATATGGTGCGGCGCGCGACCACCTGATAAGCCCTTCATGTTCCTGGGTGGAGTGAGGCTACTATCCACATTGAAATTTCGGGATGGCGACCAGGGGGAACTCTGCTGGTCTGGAATAAAGAGAAGGACATTCAATATTAGAAACTATACTTGTTGAATTTGATCAAACACTCAGATATCTGTCATGGCCAACACGCTCTCATTTCATATTGACGCTCTTCCACTGCATGGTACGGTTCGGTACGGCTCGCTTTTTGGAGCTTTTCCACTTCATGGTACAGTTCGGTACGGCTCACTTTTAGGAGCTTTTCCACTGCATGGTACGGTTCGGTACGGCTCACTTTTAGGAGCTTTTCCACTGCATGGTACAGTTCGGTACGGCTCACTTTTTGGAGCTTTTCCACTTCATGGTACGATTTGGTACAGCTCGATTAAATAGTTCCACCTTGGTTGAGGTGTGCCGTACCAATACTAAAATGTTATTTGTGTAAACACTGCAGATCACTGATTGGTCTGAGAGAATCATTACTACCAGAGTCATTGGATTTGGGAAACAATACACCATACCTGTTGACAGCAACAGTCACCGCAGTATCATTTGTTCAAACATCTTTTTTAAACAACTTGCTTTAAACGACGTCACATGCAACTTGAACAAAGAAATGGCTGAATCGTTTCAGTAGACAAGGTGCAGACGTTCCTCGTTGGTAGCCGAGTACTAGATGATGTCACTATAATGATCAGTCTATAATCCCACCTACTTTGAAGCGGCACTAAACCTCAGTGGAAAAGGAAACCGAGCCAAAACGAGCCGTATCATGCCAAACGTACCACGCAGTGGAAAAGCGTAGCAAGCTGAGCAGTGCCGTACGATGCAGTGAAGCAAAATGACCCGAGCACATTTATCCTGAAAAACAAAACAATCCTCTCTTTTTTACTTTACCTAAGGCTTAACATCTGGGGATAAACTAACAATTCTGTCATTTGCTTGTAAAACGTAAAATATCTGAAAATCATAAAAGTAATGCATTATACTTCTTGTGAATATACAGTAGAGTCATGCAGTTGCTTTGAAAATGGAGACATTTCTATTTTTATTTTAAACCACTGATATTAAATGCCACTGTTTCTTGTGCATCTACATTATCTGCCCATTCGTTGTATTACTGTAACGGGGCAAATTTGTTTTAATATAAATAAAACGTATACTCCTTAAAACTGCAGTGAACCAAAGACAGTCTCAAAAACACAGTTTGAAACTGCTGGTGTTTCTTACGTGTTACGTCACAAACTTCATTGTTACCACTCATGTCATGTCAACATGTGGGCGGGCCTTAGCATATCATTAACTATGCTGAGTATCAGGGAAGTCTCAAGAGAAGACAGGAAAAAAAATCTGGTAAATTTAGCAACATAGTGGGTGAATTAGTGGGTCAATTTTATGATGAACTATACCTTTCTCCACAGACTTTCTATGATGTTTAAAGCGTTAAGGATGCTGATTTTTAGAAGAATTCCCAAACATGTACTTCCATGACTGCATGCACCATCCAGCCCACTGGATTTGAAATGAATGGGAATGTCTATATATTACACCTCCTTACTTTACACTATCATGAAACCATGTCTAAAAAACACAATGGTATAGGTTGTCCCATTAAAACACACAAAAACTATTCATAGTGATAGTATTAGACTCCCTTTGTTCTGACTGAAGGGATCCAGCAGGAAACATCTCTCTCTTTGCATTCAATTATATTTTCTAAGTTATGAGTGTGAGGTTAACTAATGTTGACAGTAAAGGAATCTTCTTTCAATTCTTTCGAAAGAATGATGATCACAAGAGAGAAAAGGGTTTGCATTTGTCTGATGTAACATTTGGAAAACCTGATTGCCTGAATTGAATGAACAATCATAAAATACTGAAAAGTGATGCCTTTAACTCACAGGAAAGCCCATATTTGTAGCTTAGTCACAACAGCACATGCATTAAAGAGACCAGGTTAAATGTCTTGCTCAAGGGCACGATGGTGATAACTTACAAACATGGATTGGGGCTCAAATCTTTCTAACGTCTTCTGTCTAACAGTTGAATTTTAACCTCTACACCACACCTCCAGATCTGTTGCAGTCTCTTTACAAAGAGAAATGTTGGGGTGGGTGGTTTGTTGTGGAGTCTTCTGAAGCCATATTACAGCTTTGTGTGAGGAACCGACATCACACTAGCCCCTTTTCCACCAAAGCATTTTGAGAGCCGGTTCGGAGCCGGTGCCTGCGCGCGAACCAGTGTTCTTTGTGTTTCGACAGCCAAAGAACCGGTTGTCGGCCAGGAGAACTGGTTCCAAAGCGGCACCAACTCTTTGCTTGACTAGAACCGTTGTTTTACCACGTCATGCTTACGTCGGGGGCTGGGGGCGGGTTTAGATGTGTTCTAAACATCTTTTCTGACCATAATAAAGGATCGCAAAGCCAAGAGAAACATTTGCAGAAACACGATGGAGTCCGCCTTTGTTATGCTTGAAGTTAACGCAAGCGTTTCTATTTTTGTAATTTTTTATTGAAGACATTAAGCAAAGAAGAAAAGTCAGAACAAATAAATGGAAAGAAAGAACTTACATATTTCAATTGTTTTTAAAGCTTTCTTGGTATACGAGTTAGAGATAATCCGAAAGTAATGTTGTATTTGCAAGCGTTTCTAGCTAAGACGTATGGCGACGTACACAGTGACGTAACAACGTCGTTCCCTGGGCGCTCTAGTCAGTGGAAAAATAAATTTGCAAGTTGAACCAACTCCGAACCCACTTTGAACCAGCACCAGTTCTGAACCAGTTATTTTTTTGTGTGGAAAAGTGGTAACTGTAAATCAATTAACTGGTTTGAGTAGGTACACTTTAATTAAATTCAATCAAATTGACTTTTATGAGTATTTACAACTTTCTTTTTCTTTGAGTTCACAAAACTGAGACATTTTAAGTAAGAATTATCTTATTGTTTTGAGTTTTATGAAATTGTTTCATTTAATTTAGACAAACACATATAACTAAAACTGGACTGGGATTTCTATTTCCCAAGATGCTTTGCAATGACAAAAGGAAGAGTAAATGCTAAAATTAAGTGACGCACCATGTTTTTTGGGGGGTTTTTTGTGCAAGATTAATGTTAATTGGGAGATGTAGCAGTGTGTAATGTTTTGCTATGCTAATTCAGAAGGGTTTTTGGGCAGTTACCATCATGGTGAAGAGTGAAGCATGAGCTTGGTTTGAGAACAGATTTCTGTTAAATGTCACTGTACACTTTCAGCAATTGATATGCTAAGCTAATGCCTTCAAAGCATAATGATACACATTAGCAAGTTAGCAGTTATTGATCAAGCAAGTTAAAAGCCAGCCAAGCTTCCAAGCATTATAAGTTAAGAGCAATTAAAATGTATGAGTGCAGCATAATCTGCCAGTTCTGCTTTCTTAAACTTTGAATTTCTCAACTTAAATAATTTTATGTAATTGATTACCTCGATTTCTTTGGGGGGGGTTGTAAACCACTTACTCTGGTTTACAGTGGCAGGATGCACTGAAAATGTATGCCTTGGACCAACTTAACAAAATTCTAATTATACTAAATTACACAAAAATTACTAATACATTTAAAAATTCTATGGGGAGTGTTATTTGCTTTTAGAGAAACTGAACAGAAAGCCGGAAAAAATGATTTTCGATTAGATCAATAACAAAATGCACTCTAAAACGACAGTCGTTTCAATTTGTTCAGTGTGAAGAGAAACACAAACAGACAGAACTAATGTAGCATCATCCAAACCTTTTGTTCACATTATAACAGCTAATACTAGTAAAAGACAAATTAAAGATAAAAAAGAAGAAGAAGATACGATGTGTCAGAGGAGAAATCAGAGCAGGAAACACCTTTAGCGCTAAATCTCCTCTTACATAATGCCTAGGGACTATAATCCATTGCAGTATATCAAAGAGAATGAGATATAACACAGAGTTGTCATGGTAACCATTGCTGAGGACTCTGACCATGAAAAGCTGATTTTAGAGTTTGTTACACAAGGATGACAGTAATTCACAGCAGGACTGCTGTTCACAGCCTTTCCTGTATTTCAATGAAGAAGCATTTATTATTCCAGTTTTTACATCTGTATATTTCAAATCTGAATACAAGCCATCGGTGTGCTAAAGAGCTCATGAGGCCAATGAGTTTAGGAGGGAGTAAATGAGACTTGATGGAAAACTATTACTGAGCTCCCAAGCCAAATTAGCCCACAAGTTTGAGGAAAAACTATCCCAGTTAGGTTTATGCAACCTTCCCAACATTTCCTGTTTCTCTATTTTTACAACACATTGCTACAGGAAAAGAACATGTGGTTGCTGTGGCAACTAAATGAGTCAAAGAAGGAGAAGCCTGTAATCTCGCATGTAGCATCTCACCTGATACACAATTACACAAAATGATACATTCAGCGTCACTCACTACCTGAGCAATGAGGGTTAATTTGATTTGTGTGGTCCAAGAAAAAAAAAAAAAGATATGTCAAAGATTACCCAGATAGCAAACTGACATTGAATCAACGTGGAAATATGACATCGAAACAACGTTGATCTGACATAGTTTTGCTCATCGAATTAACGTTGAACCAACGTCAGAGGCGTCATTATGAACACGTCGTTATGAAAGCAAACCAATTTTCGATTTTCATTTAGCTTTGAAGAATGCCGCGTCTGACGTTGGTTCAACGTTAATTCGATGAGCAAAATCAACGTTGTTTCAATGTCATGAGAGACGTCGTTTCCACGTTGATTCAATGTCAGTTTGCTGTCTGGGTAGGTATAGGTAGGTATATGGATTATTGCTGTATACAATTTATACCGTGGTGTGACCCCCTTTCACCTTTAGAACTGGCTTATTCTTTGTGGCATTGATTCAACAAGGTGCTGAAAGCATTCTTTAGAAATTTTGGCCCATATTGATAGGATAGCATCTTGCAGTTGATGGAGATTTGTGGGATGCACATCCAGGGCACGAAGCTCCTATTCTACCACATCCCAAAGATGCTCTATTGGGTTGAGATCTTGTGACTATGGGGGCCATTTTATTACAGTGAACTCATTGTCTTGTTCAAGAAACCAATTCGAAATGATTCTAGCTTTGTGATAAGCATTATCCTGCTGGAAGTAGCCATCAGAGGATGGGTACATGGTGGCCATAAAGGGATGGACATGGTCAGAAACAATGCTCAGGTAGGGCGTAGCCTAAAGTGTGCCAAGAAAACATCCCCCTCACCATTACACCACCACCAGCCTGCACAGTGGTAACAAGGCATGATGGATCCATGTTCTCATTCTGTTTACGCCAAATTCTGACTCTACCATCTGAATGTCTCAACAGAAATCGAGACTCATCAGACCAGGCAACATTTTTCCAGTCTTCAACTGTCCAATTTTGGTGAGCTCTTGCAAATTGTACCCTCTTTTTCCTAATTATAGTGGAGATGAGTGGTACCCGGTGGGGTCTTCTGCTGTTGTAGCCCATCCGCCTCAAGGTTGTGTGTGTTGTGGCTTCACAAATGCTTTGCTGGATACCTCGGTTGTAACGAGTGGTTATTTCAGTCAAAGTTGCTCTTCTATCAGCTTGAATCAGTCGGCCCATTTTCCTCTGACCTCTAGCATCAACAAGGCAGAAACACATCAAAGTTGTGTTTCTGCTCAGTATTTGTTATAACCTGTTATACTTTTTCCAGGATTCATTGATAAAAAAAAAAAAGAAAAAAAAATCAGCTTTTATTTTAAATAGAAATCTTTTGTAACAATATGCACTTATACTAGTTTTTTTTAAAGAAATGTATTATTTTATTATTATATATACTATATAATTGATTAATATTATGTCAATTGATAAAAAAGTGATAGTGAAGAATTATATTCTTAGAAAAGATTTCTATTTTGAATAAATGCGGTTCTTTTTAACTTTTTATTCATCAATGAATCCTGAAAAAAAGTGTCACTGTCGGGCATACACTGTGCGATTTTCATCCGATTTTGAGTCGAATTCTGACTCATGCGACTTTTTCGTGTCGGACCGATTTTCAGCTTTGTCGTGCGTCGTTTGTCGTGCAGTGTCCGTGCAATGTACAGGGAGAAACAAGAGGCGATTAGCCTCTCACGATCGACAATCGGATGGTCGGATGAATTTCTGGCATGTCAGAAATTTTGGTCGCTCCTCGTGACTATATCGCACAGTTGAAGCAAAGCTACGAACCGATTGCCCTTAACTCAGTGTTTTTTCCCACACTGCACCTGCGCGAAAACGGAAGTTTAACCATTTCATCTGCAGCAAAAATAAAATTAAAATAAAATCGAAAAGAGGGAGATCTTTAAGTTCTGTATTTCAAAATAGCTACAAATTACTGTTGCTTACCTCCAGTTCGTGTTGCAAAATGGATAATATTACCCACGTCTTCGTTAACGATAACGATAACATAAAAATGAACGAATATCGGCCGATACCGATATGGTGCCGATACCGATATATCGTGCATCACTAGAATAATCATTTTAGTTATTTATTTACATCCTCATAATTCACGAGCTATTATATTAAAACAAATAGAGTTACAAATCAATATCCAAATCAAGTGCCAGAGCTAAAACGCTAAAACTGAGCATATTTTTTTTTATCTTTGATCATCAACATTACATATTTAAATGTTTATTTTCCCCCTTGAAACATTTTCATCAGGCCTTAAAATAGCTTAAAACTCTACGCCCTTGCCTCATTTAGTATGTGCGGTTCGATGAATATGCAAATTAGCTCTGCCTCCACTCCCTCACACCAGCTCAGAGATCCACTCGTTGACGATCACATGTTAACCTGATAGGTTACAATGTAGTTTGTGACGTCAGAAACACAGGTGATTTTTGAGACTGTCTTTGGTTCACTGCAGTTTTCAAGAGAAAATACTTAGCAATGGTGTTGACTGCACGGTTTGTCTTAAAGCATATTAGAAACACTACATAGACACATAAACAACACTAAAAGCTTGATTTTCACAACAAGGGGACTTTAAAGGAAAGCTGCACTTGTATCTTCTCCAGGGCTAGTTGCATAACTCAGCATTATGAATTCTTTCCACCTCCACACCAAGTCTCAAGTAAAACAAAAGATCACTTGCATAGAGAGCAGAGCAACAGGCATCAATCCACCGGCAGGTGAGCTAAAAATATTGTATCAGGGAGGGGTTCACCTTACTGTAGGAGGTCATTGAGGTCCCTCGAAATAATATGCCATTAGTGTAAATACTGTTGTTGCACCATGCTATTGGCAAAAAGCTAATGGAGTAAGAGCAGGAGCGCTCGGCTCAGTAACTAACACTCGAATAAGACAGACAAGAGGTTTCAGGCGCTAAGCTCCTCTTCAGCGAAGTGAAGGTAATCTAACCCAACACCTAAAAGAGAAAAGGCAGCTGGATTTCTCCTCCATTCAGACAAATCAATGTCTGAGAGAGAATTAAGTTTACAGTCAGTTCTTTGTGTTTGGTCCCAATAAACTGTTATATAAAGCTGAAGGAAGCAAACGCCAGAGAAAAGAGTTGCGCTGGGTGCCTGAGCAAGAGCTCACCTTTGATTCAGTCTCCCACTCACGCCCACCGCTGCCCTCGCACACACAGGACGGTGGCGATCTGATGGCGGGACCCATCGGCCCCTGCTAGCGAATGCCTCACCCAATAAACAGCTCCTCACTTCATGACAGAGGGAGAGGAGAGAAAAGAAAAAGGTCGAAATGAAAATCACAAAAATGACCGAATGAAAAAAATGATCTAAGGGGTTCATTTAATGTCTCCCTGAAGTCGCTTAAAACTCACCTTTGATCACCAAAATTACGTATTTAAACGTTTTTTTTTTCTTCAACATTTGTTATGCCTTAAAATAGCTTGAATGTAACTCTACACCCTTGCCTCATTTAGTATTTGCGGTTCTATTAATATGCAAATGAGGGCCGCCTCCACTCACTCACACCAGCTATGAGATCCACTCATTGACGCTATAGATTGTGACGTCAGAAACACCAATGATTTCAAATCGCGTTTTTGAGACTGTCTTTGGTTCACTGCAGTTTTCAAGAGAAAATACTCAGCAATGGTGTTGACTTTGAATTTGCACATGGTTTGTCTTATTCAAAACACCACATAGACATACAAACAACATTGAAAACAGACTATATGTTATACCATGCAAATCCAATTTGAATAAACAACCGTTTTTCAGTGGTACCAACCTTTAAAGGAGAACTCTGGCGCAAAATGAACCTTTGGCCTATTATTAGGCCAAAGGTTCATTTTACGCCGGAGTTCTCCTTTAAGAAAATGGTTTTAGAAAAAAATGCTCAACTGTCCAAATGGATGGCCATTATCCAACATGAACTGAACACTTCCCACTATATTACTCAGATATAATACTGTTCCAACAATAATGATAGAACATATCAATAAAAGTCAATTTAGAAATCATAAACTTCAATTAAGCTATAGATGTACAGGGCCAAAACTGACATTGACCAGTGCCAAATGTAAGTAAAATTAGGTTTTTGACAAGTAAATAAAAAGACGTTATTGGCCATAAAGTGGATTATATTGCAATAGTGATACTCTAAAGAATCTGTCCATTTATTCTGATGGACCATTTTTGACATTCTACTAACTATAAGTAACTTTGCAACTACATGCCAACTACATCTCAGAGTATTAGTAGATTGTAGACGGTTAGGCTAGGATTTGGGTTAGTAGAATAAGTTGACAAGTAGTTGTAAAGTTACTAATATCTAGTAAAATGTCTAAAGTGGACCATCGAAGTGTTACCAGGTCTTCTAACAATTTTTTCCTGAGTGGAAAGTTTGCCATCAGAAGTTTACTTTATAGGATGCCTAGCTTTTCTAATTGTGACGGAATTGAAAGACAGTAAGCAAAGTAAGTTAAAATAATAGAAATGATAAAACATAGGCTGTGTATGTTTAACTTTGTTAATTTCTTTAATGTATTAATAAATATCTGATTGTGGTGGTAGTAATGTTTATTTAAAAGATCCATTATTTATTTTTCTGTTTTTTTTTTTTTTTTTAAGATTTACTGTTTATACTGTGTTTATATGAAGTATCAAGTTATGGTCTGGAGGGGTGGGTAAGTGAATATCGTAATTTTGATGAAATAAATGGAATATCAAAAGTAATTGTAAAATAAGTAATTCGTGGTCAGAACATTGTAGTGATTATCTCCATATAATTTCAAAGTGAAAATGATGATACTTTTTTAACTAATGGCAGGTAATCTTAAGTTTCTTCAAAATTTATATATTTTTTGATGCAAATGATGCAATAGAAAGAGTGACTGATATAAAGAAGAAAATAAATGGACAATTCAACATCCTCATCAAAGTATAGCCGAACATGCCATTGAATCACCATGGAAACTACTGCATAGTTCATAAAGCAAAATGTTGATGATTATGAGAGAAAAAAGGAGTGAATGCCTCCACTTTGATGCAGGGCAAACCTTTTTGATTAAGCAACTGATGAAAATACAATATAACAGATTAATGCTAGATTTAAGTCATCTTTAGGGTAACAGCCACTGTCACGAGACCAAATTAACCTTTGAATATGTGAAAATTCTACTAATAGTTTAGTAAACAAAACTAAGGAACACTTTATTTTAATAGAAACCTACTTTAATAGAGTAATATAATGCTAACTGAAGATATTTCTGTATTTTCTTGCAGAGTTCTGTCAGTACATCAGACAAGTAATACTGAGTATTTATGTCATATTGTTTCTATGGGAACTATAAAATCTATTTTTTCTCTCCTAAACTGACACCCAGTTTCTCTTAAAGGAGACTGAGAACAACATATTATCAGGATCACGTGTTAACTTAATTCAATTTATAAAAATACCATATAGCAATGTTACTGTACATAATATTTATGAGGATTTAAAGCCATCTTTAGATTTTAGATTCTTTATTTATTTCTAAAGTTGAGCTTGTTATTTCATTATAGCGTCACCAAACAGGGATTTGTCAAAAAACACTCATTCCACCTGCCATTAGTCGGCCAAACAGATAATACTGCCCTAAATGTACGCATTTTGTCAAATTAATGTTGCTGTGTCAGGCTGGTCAGTTTGCTTGCGTAACAAGGACGTTAACAAGGATGCTGAAGGCCAAAGCCTCTAGAGTCAGCTGCAAGTGCGCCTCTTGGGGACAGGGGAGTGGGGTTTACCTGCACAGCTCTTTTATAGCACTACCCACCCTCATAAATCTCACTCCTATCCGGGTCATGGCACCAATATAAGTGGTCCTCCCATAACTTCTAGCATCAGTTGCTAGTGTGATTCTTAAGGCCAGGGGAGTGGGGTTTACCTGCACAGCTCTTTACTAGCACTACACACCCTCATAAATCTCACTCCTATCCGGGTCACGGCACCAATATAAGTGGTCTTCCAATAACTTCTAGCATCAGTCGCTAGTGTGACTCTTGAGGACAGAGGAGTGGGGTTTACCTGCACAGCTCTTTACTAGCACTACGCACCCCCATATATCTCACTCCTTTCCAGGTCACGGCACCAACGTAAGTGGTCCTCCCATAACTTCTAGCATCAGTCGCTAGTGCGACTCTTCAGGACAGGGGAGTGGGGTTTACCTGCACAGCTCTTTACAAGCAGTACTCACCCTCATATATCTCACTCCTTTCCGGGTCACGGCACCAACAAGTGGTCCTCCCATAACTTCTAAAATCAGTCGCTAGTGTGACCCTTGAGGACAGGGGAGTGGGGTTTACCTGCACAGCTGTTTATTAGCACTACTCACCCTCATAAATCTCACTCCTATCCGGGTCACGGCATCAACGAAAGTGGTCTTCCCATAACTTCTAGAATCAGTCGCTAGCGTGACTCTTGAGGACAGGGGAGTCGGGTTCACCTGCACAGCTATTTACTAGCACTACACACCCTCATAAATCTCACTCCTTTCCGGGTCACGGCACCAACGTAAGGGGTCTTCCCATAACTTCTAGCATCAGTTGCTAGTGTGACTCTTGAGGACAGGAGAGTGGGGTTTACCTGCACAGCTCTTTTATAGCACTACCCACCCTCATAAATCTCACTCCTATCCGGGTCATGGCACCAATATAAGTGGTCCTCCCATAACTTCTAGCATCAGTTGCTAGTGTGATTCTTAAGGCCAGGGGAGTGGGGTTTACCTGCACAGCTCTTTACAAGCACTACACACCCTCATAAATCTCACTCCTATCCGGGTCACGGCACCAATGTAAGTGGTCTTCCAATAACTTCTAGCATCAGTCGCTAGTGTGACTCTTGAGGACAGAGGAGTGGGGTTTACCTGCACAGCTCTTTACTAGCACTACGCACCCCCATATATCTCACTCCTTTCCAGGTCACGGCACCAACGTAAGTGGTCCTCCCATAACTTCTAGCATCAGTCGCTAGTGCGACTCTTCAGGACAGGGGAGTGGGGTTTACCTGCACAGCTCTTTACAAGCAGTACTCACCCTCATATATCTCACTCCTTTCCGGGTCACGGCACCAACAAGTGGTCCTCCCATAACTTCTAGCATCAGTCCCTAGTGCGACTCTTGAGGACAGGGGAGTGGGGTTTACCTGCACAGCTCTTTACAAGCAGTACTCACCCTCATATATCTCACTCCTTTCCGGGTCACGGCACCAACAAGTGGTCCTCCCATAACTTCTAAAATCAGTCGCTAGTGTGACCCTTGAGGACAGGGGAGTCGGGTTCACCTGCACAGCTATTTACTAGCACTACACACCCTCATAAATCTCACTCATTTCCGGGTCACGGCACCAACGTAAGGGGTCTTCCCATAACTTCTAGCATCAGTTGCTAGTGTGACTCTTGAGGACAGGAGACTGGGGTTTACCTGCACATCTCTTTTATAGCACTACCCACCCTCATAAATCTCACTCCTATCCGGGTCACGGCACCAACATAAGTGGTCCTCCCATAACTTCTAGCATCAGTCGCTAGTGCGACTCTTGAGGACAGGGGAGTGGGGTTTACCTGCACAGCTCTTTACAAGCAGTACTCACCCTCATATATCTCACTCCTTTCCGGGTCACGGCACCAACAAGTGGTCCTCCCATAACTTCTAAAATCAGTCGCTAGTGTGACCCTTGAGGACAGGGGAGTGGGGTTTACCTGCACAGCTGTTTATTAGCACTACTCACCCTCATAAATCTCACTCCTATCCGGGTCACGGCATCAACGAAAGTGGTCTTCCCATAACTTCTAGAATCAGTCGCTAGCGTGACTCTTGAGGACAGGGGAGTCGGGTTCACCTGCACAGCTATTTACTAGCACTACACACCCTCATAAATCTCACTCCTTTCCGGGTCACGGCACCAACGTAAGGGGTCTTCCCATAACTTCTAGCATCAGTTGCTAGTGTGACTCTTGAGGACAGGAGAGTGGGGTTTACCTGCACAGCTCTTTACTAGCACTACTCACCCTAATTAATCTCACTCCTATCCGGGTCACGGCACCAATGTAAGTGGTCCTCCCATAACTTCTTGCATCAGTCTCTAGTGTGACTCTTGAGGACAGGAGAGTTGGGTTTACCTGCACAGCTCTTTACTAGCACTACTCACCCTCATATATCTCACTCCTTTCCGGGTCATGACACCAACATAAGTGGTCCTCGCATAACTTCTAGCATGCGACTCTTGGGGACAGGGGAGTAGGGTTTACCTGCACAGCTCAATACTAACTGGCCTCTAGGGCTGAGCATTGACACAAATTTCATGATTTGATTAGATTTTTTGGATCTATATCAACAACAGTTATGGCACATTTTTAATAACTTTACTAT